AGGGTATTCGTTCCTTTGTAACGGACACGAATAACAGCCTGTCTAAATACGGTACCGGTGAATAACGATGGCTGGAATTTCTCGTTATTTCTCGAGAGTCACGGCTCGTCCGCGACTCTGGGTGGCTTCTTCCTTCCACTCGTGCACAACGCGATCCACGGGAACAGAGTTATCGATCGGATGAGCGAGCAACGCGCCAGTGAACGGACAATGATCACAGCGACCTTGAGAAGAAGGCAACGTTTGTTCGGTGATGTAGCGCGCGCGGCATACCATCGTATTTTCTCACCCGTGAAGATCCAGCCACCGTGCCTTTTTTCCACGGAGAGAGAGTTCGCGACGATCCAACGCGGATCGCTATGGCGAACGTTCTCCGATCGACCGTTCCGATCCACCGACCCGATAAATATAATTAAGGAGACGGGAAGCTGAAGAGAGCCCTCCACTCGGAACACCACGGTCGCTTTATCGTTCGCGGTATCCGTATAATCGCCGTTAGCCGAATACACCGTGCGCAAGGAACGTCGATAAGATGTCGCGCGTTTTTCGGTTCAAGAAAACCCCGCGATGACGGAAAAAGGCTGAGAACGGAGAAGACGAAGAAGAAGAAGAAGAAGAAGAAGAAGAAAGGAAGAGAAAGAGAAAAGGTAAACGGAAGGAAACGAGGACGAACCGAAACGTTAGCGGTGGAGCTATCCCAGAGTCCTTTGGAATGGAAAGAGGAGCATTGTTATGCTAAGTAAAGAGAAGAAGCGTATAGAGTGGCACGGGAAGTATCCTCGAGAGGAAAGGACACGCAGAAGCGTCCACGAATGGCTCGAGCCAATGGAAGAGCTAGGGTTGCACAGCTGTTGCTCGTCTGGAGACAGCTGCCGGTCCTACGGGACGCGTGTGTATCGCGACCCGAAACCTCGTCGAGGGTGAAGAAAACTCGTGCAAGAATCGGTCCGTAACTCCGCCCAAACGGAAATTCGTGGAGGGAAAGATCGACGGGGCGTTGGATCGTAGAGGGCGAGAGAGAAATTAACTCGGTGATTTCGACGCTTCGAGAGGACGCGCGCCGAGACCGTTTCTGAACAGAGGCCAGGGAACACGACGAACCGGATACGCGGAATCCTTTTACCACGACACATCGAGCGGCCAAGCGATGCGAGCAACAGCTCCGGGATCTCGTTTTTCCCCCTCGGCGGAAGGTCATCGACGACCCGCGCTCGCGAGCAAGCCTGCGACGAGTAGGCAGTCGGGCTGTCGCGCTAATTGCAGGTGCCGTTACCGTTACTTTCCAGATGGCATGCCCGTTTGTGTCGCGCGTTACCTCGCCCGCTCCAACGTAGTAAAGCTTCGCAGCCGCAATCGGAGCGTTCTCCGCGATCTCGACGAGTTTTCCTTCGCGATTCTCGCCGCTTCGACGACACTCCGGCAAAGGAGAATCGGGTTACGTTGGCGGAGATACGAGCGGAAGATTCGAGCGTGGCGTGTCGCGGACCGATGGAACGCGAGTCGAAGAAAGTAGGACGGGGGCGGTTTCCCTCTCGCGATCGAACCTAATTATCGCGGAACGAAGGAGAATATCGACGCGTTTATACTCGTGGTTGCAGATATAAGTCGTGGTGGTGATCGCACCCGGCTGCCAGAGAGCCAAGATACCGATGTAACGTATCTACCTATTATAAGGGTATAAATATCGAGTGGCAAGTGCATAGCGGACGGTCTCGGCATTAACCCACGCTAAACTCTCTGGCTCTCTCGCTCTCCTCAACTTTGCCGATCCCCACTTGTCTCCGTGTATTCTAAGACGCGACCCGATACCATAAAAAGCACCTGCCCGCGTCCCACTGCTACGGAGCTACGAAATATCTTCTTGCCGATTGAATTTGCTCCTCGTCCGATGGCTCGTTAAAACGCCAGCCGACATACCGATCCGGCCATACTCCCTGCCTAACGACAGTCCCTGCGCCTTTGTCTTTCCGCTTAATCGTTCGTTTCGCCAGTGTCTCTGTACCGCGTATTCTACCACCTGACGATCTTCGCCGTTGCGAATCCACGAGAAACTTCTCTCTCGCGACACGCGTAACCCTCGTTTCGAGCAATTTGCATCGCGTCGTCCCTGAACGCGTACGCGAGAGACGTATCGCAAGGTTTATAGCGATGGCGATGGGAAAAGTGGAGCGAGGAATAATCGACGTTCCATATCGAAGAAACGTAAAAGTCTTCTTTGTTTCGAACGAGTCGGGTAATCTGCGCCGAGTAGGGAACATTTCGTTCGCCCAAGTTGGAGAGGAGCGTTTCGCGGCGATAGATGGAAGGACAAGAGTAAATCGACGTTAAATACCAAGACCGTGACGAATACGAGTAACGACGGAAAAAACGCCGTCAAGGCAAATGTTGTAGGCAATAAAACGCTAGCGTATGCCCAGGGTAAGTATCGATTACGCACACAAAATCTCTTAATTGGTGGGAACGGAATGGCGCGCATTTGCTACGGTTTATTTACATTCGCGAATAACACCCTATAGGCCGATATAGCCATAGTCATAATATTTATATCGAGACCCCTTTCTTGCGAAAGTTTATGGCGTCGCACTGGTGATTCGTGGCTCGAGATTCTCGACGGGGGAATTAAATAGCCGGGTACCATTCGCGCTCCTTTTACGTTTGGCGAACGACGGCCGATCGCGGGTCGTCTTCGTCGTCGTGCTCGTCGACGGATCCAGAGAAGAGTGGAGGAGAAAAGGACGAGGGAGGAACGAGGTGAAAAATTCCCGTGTCGGTCGTCGCTTCGTACGTACGTGTAATTCCTTCTGGAATCTTACGTAAGCGAGACTTTTTCGAAGAATCGCAGCGGTTGTTTGCATTCCTTTCCTTAATAACACGTACGAGTTTATATCACGGTTTCGCACGCGTCGCAGTTGGTCGAACGATCCGACGTATGGTTTGCTCGAATCGCACGTACGCGCGATTAATAGAAATTTACGCGGGGTTAGACGGGAATGAACGATCGCGAGCGGAAAATCGGTAGACTTTCGAACGGCGTTCGCGTAGAAAATTCGTTTGGATTTAGAAAATACGATTCGGAGCGAGTGGTTGGATACGAAAAGCGTTGCGCGGACAGGACTACCTCTCGCTCGCGTATAAATCTCGAATGCGGCAGGTGTTTAGTAAGCAGCTGTTATTTCGCATTCGCAGCTAACGCCTAACGACCGACGATTCTGATCCACGGCTGCATAAATCTTTGCAACGGTTAACACCTTTGAAGAATATCACGAACGTATCCGGTCATCGGTAGAATACTAACAGCGAATTTGTCGCGAAAGAAACGTCGACGTTACACCTATCGTCGTAATAGAACCCGATTCGGCGCGTTCCGCGATAAATATTAATGCGCTTTCGCGATTTATCGCGTCTCCCCACTCTGCCTGCCTAGCTGTTTATCTCGAAAATCGCACGGCTCGGAAACGCATTGTCGCCATGTCGACCGTCGACGTGGATGTGTGGCTGATTAAGCGGGAATAACGAGAACGATGTCGATACGCGTAACGACAACAAACATCGTCGTAGCTGGTAGCCTACATTACTTACGGCAGCGAGTGCAACGAGTGGCGCGCTACCCACTTCCAGTAAGCGTGGAACAAAAGGACCGCGCGAATGGAAATGGCGCTCGAGCAAATCGAGGATGAATGCGCGATTGCTCGTGACCGTAATGGTGGATCTCTCGACTATTTCCAGCAAATTTTGTCACGGTGAATGCATCCTTCGTTGCAACGATAAAAAGTATTCGCCGTTGAAAAAGGATCTCGCGGCCGATGGTTCTTGGTCTTTGCATACGCGCGCGCACACGCTCGTTCAAAGGAAAACTTTTCCTTTCGCGATGGAATTCGAAGCACGCGCGTCCTTCGTAGTTAGCCGCTCCGAAACGGTAACTTTGAGCGTCGATACAAGTCGCACGCACGTGTACCTGCTCGTTACGCGATTTTGCAAAATATCTCGACCTTGGCGACTGTCGAAACGTCGCGATAGTAAGCTAATCTATGGCTCGTCCATTTCCTCCAAGCAAGCTGTACATACATACCCTAGCCTTATCGTCGTTTTTCGCACGGAGTACGTTCCTCCGTTTTCGTACGTAAAAAGATCGATATTAGAGACGAATTAACCGTGTCGCGTACCATCGCGCGACCCGATTCCTTGATTTCTCTTCCACCGTGTCTCTTACGATCGAGGAGTCATTCGGGACACTCGGAGTACCGTCTTTGCGGATGGTCCTCGACCTTGCATGGTTTCGGAGGAACGTTTCGAACCGTTCACGGTAATCTCTCTCTCTCTCTCTCTCTCTCTCTCTGCGTCTCCCACCTCCCCCTCTCTCTCTTTTTCTCTCCCTGTATCTCTTTCCTTCTCTTCGCTGGCGAGCAATGGAATTTCGAAGGAGAGAGAGAGAGAGAGAGAGCGAGTGACAGAGACAGAGAGGAAGAGTCTCCTGCAGACGGAGGTCGTAAAAGAGTATCGGCGCGCAAAGTCTCGACCTCGATCTCTCGCGGTAGGGGCACTTTCTTTCTCCGGCAGGGTCCAGGGCCGAGTTAAGGGTGCCCCCTAGCCCTATTCCGACGTTCTTCTCTCGGTAGAGCATTTTTTGCTTTCGCGCTCGGACCCTATGCGGTACGCGGCTTTTACGCTGCCCGTTCGAGTTTCGAGTTTCGAGTTTCGAGTTTCGAGTGGTGGAAAGGAGAACGTCGTTTCCGGAGCAAAGCGATTCGTCGCGGAATCGGGAGCTGGACGAAAAGGAGAAAAAGGAGGCGTAATAGGCGACCTCGCGAGGTCGTGGAAAGAACGTCCGCCGGTTTTCCGAGTCGGAAGCGTATAGACGCGCGGTAACCTCGTTACACAAAGAGACGGAGAGAAGAGATAGGATGCGGTGTAGAGGAGACGATGCGAGGCAAGGCAAGGCGAGGCGAGGCGAGGCGAGAGGAGGCGCGAGGTAAGGTAAAGCGAAGCAAGACTGGACTCACCGTGCGAAAGGTTGTTCCTCGACCTCGTATAGCTCCTCGAGGGTCTGTTTCGAGAGAAGCCTCTCCAGTCTCTGGGGCGTGGGAGCGAGATGCCCTGGGATGCTGGTAGTCTCGAACAGGCTGTCCGCCGTCATGGCCGCTGTCGGGTCGACGGTGTGTCAACTGAACACGAAAAGCAACGATGCACGATAATCCCAAAATTTCCGTTGTCCGGTCGTACGACGATGCGTGCGACCGCCGAGTCGTAGATGGCCAGCCACACGAGTCTCGTCGCGGGTCACACAAAATAAAAAAAAAAGGACTACAAATTTCACTTGTACAGCGATCACAGCCAGCGATACTCTCGTAAATATTCGAATGCACGAACGAACGTTAGAAAGGAAGCAGCAAGAAAAAAGGGAAGGTGTTTTCTGCTTCGGTCACTGCGTTTACACGGCCTACGTTTACTCACGCCGACAACGCAACGGCGAACCAATCACCACGTCACTGTCGCGATTAGAGGCACGCATTTCCGAGTCGCGAGAATCCTGCTGCTGCTGCTGCTGCTGCTGTTGATGCACGTTTCGCACGTTGGTCGTTGGTAGCTCGATGGTCGAGGAACGCGCGAGTCTCGGAGTCGTACGCACCGATCGCGAAACGAGGCACGCGTTTCTATCGTGCGAGCCTTATCACGCGCAACCACTCTTCGCGACGGTTGACCAACAATTGAACCTTCCGCCGAGGCTTCGCGCGATCCCCACTCTCTCGATTCTCCAGCGCCTTCGCTATCTCCGACTCGTGGAGGGGGGCAAAGTGTATCCCCTCCTTGGGAACTCGGTGACAGTACCGAACCGAACCGAACCGAAGCGGATCCGAAGGGATCCGAAACCGGCCGAACGGACTCGCGCATCCACTCTTGCACCGACTCTCCGACACGCCAGCGAGAGATGGAGAGAGACGGAACGCGACAGGCATGCACCGACCGACCGACCGACCGACCGACCGACCAATCGACCGACTCCCTCCTTCTCGCTCCTCTCGACCACCCTCTTTTCCTCTCCTCTCTCCTCACCGAGCACCGTGCCTCTTCGCTCTCCTCTCACGACGTCTCCCGAGCTTCGCGAACCGATCTCACGATTAATAAATAACATCGCGGATGTCTGATTCTCGGACGCAACGAGATCTCGAACATCGCGGGCTGCTCCATTTATGCGAGCGCGCGACTCGGTGATTTCGATGCCGCGCTTTTCCAGCGGGCCACGGTCCAGCAGCGATCGAACCTCTGCCGAACGAACGAGTCACACACGGACGATCGATTTTTCTTCGATCCGCGTACGATATCTCGCGTTAATAAAACCGAGCTCGTTTAACGAGCTCGTAAAGCATCGCCAACGAGTAAATCGAATAGCTCGCGAGCGGCCGAGTAAACGGAACTCACCTTGGACTAGCGAAGAAACGCGGAGAGCCAGCAGGCTTGTAAAGCGTGCCAGGATCTTGTCAACCACCGTACATGATTATGGCGACCGAGCATGAATAATTGAATGCATAATTTATCGATTTCGCGGCGAAAGAGCAGCACCAGCGGCAACTGCAGCAGCAGCAGCAGCAGCAATAGCAATAGCAGCGTGCCGGAGAAAGAGAAGGGCCGCGGTCGTTGCTATACGTGCCTCTGCATTATAGATCTCCTAATAAGTCGGTGCAGCTTCCAATGCCGAGATAAATCGGTTAATCTCGATAAGGATAACCGTTGTCTCGACGCGGTAACTATGACGCGGTTATCCGCGTTTCGCGCCGCGAATCCGTCAGTCGATCCGTCCCGCTCAGACGTCGCGGAATCGGATATCGAATTAATTAGACCGAATTAACCAAGAAGCCGCGCACACGGTTCCACCACCTTCCCCTTAGCGGATGCGAGGGAAAAAGAAGCAACGCGTGGAATAAATTTCATCGAGGCGTGTACATCGGTACGTAATATCCTATTGAGAAATTTCACCGGTCGGACGAAAAATTACTCGAACGCGTTTCTTAACAGGATCTTGCGAAACACGCGGACGAGTTTCTTAATCGAGTTATCTGGCGCTTTCGACGAGTCTACCTCGCGCAATTAACGCATACCGTCGAGATAATATTTCCGTTTGAATTAAATCCATTCGCAAAATACGCGAGGTTCGCGATGCATCGTGAATATCCGAGTAATATCAGATTCGTCTAGGTTACCGATACCGCACAAGCGACTCGACGTTGCTTAACAGACTTTTCGCGGCGAGAGCTGGTTTCCCGCAGCTTATCTAATTGGAAATCCTTCGAAAGGTTCGCCACCCATTTCGTCGCTACCTATCCGTACCTTTGCACCCTCGACTTCCCAAGCTTTGTCCAAAGTTTATCCGATAAGACGGGAAGAGGAGGCGAATGACTAGTCTGGAAGGTCGGATATGCGGTGCGTGGAAGCGAGTCGCGGTCGAACCAGAGGGGTTAGGAACTTATCTCGAAAGTGACCATGCATCGCAAACTTACCGGACGCGCGTCGTGTATATTGCGTGGAAGTGCGTACGAAAGGGCGCTTTCGGGAAGATAACGGCGAAAGATAGCGGATATCCACCAACCGATGATTGGATCGAAACCATTTTGGCGAGATAACCACGGGACCTCCGCTCTCGAATCTCAAAGACGCGACACGCTTTACGCGTCCGTTCCTCGTATACCTATGTATATGCACATACGTGTGCGTGTATATTTCTGTCTACACGCGTACGTCTCGGCGATGATGCGCGGCTGATTCATCGCGCGACGAGTAATCTACGGGTACAACCAGTTTTCTAGGATAGCAGTCGTAATCGATGATCCTGCGAAACGTTGCGGCACACGCTGTATCATCGAGCAGAGCGAACGAAGCGCCATTTCCTTCCCGATTTCACGGACATTCGAATCCATTAATATCTAGCAGCAACGTCGTAGCGACGTCTGTTAGCGACGATGATTAGCTTTAACCTGAAATCAGCGCGGTAATCGAGGCAAAGAGGCTATATTTGCAACTCGATCCGTCGACCGGTACCTCGTAGCGAGTGATATTTCCAGACGCGCGAAACCCGATTTTTTCTTCCTCGTCGCGGAACACCGGTCGCCGATTGACAGTTCGGCCATTCGAGAAACAGCGTGAAACGCCAAGGAACGCGAGAGAGACTATTTCGTTCCCCTCGTAATTCATAGATATCCGTTTTTAGAAGGTATAAAAATACGCGTAATAGGACGTTAGGAGGAAAATCCGTCGCGCGATCGAACCTCGAGACCGAGAGGTGTCTCTCTCGCGATTCGTGGTCCAGCCATTCCTATACGCTTGGCACCGTGTTTTTCCCTCTTTCTCTCAGGGTGTAATTCGGTACGCGATCCCACGCGTGGCAACTAAGGACAACGAACGCGGTCGGAATGGCTGGAAAGCGTACGCGGCCGATACTTGGATCCTCCGCAACACGGATGTCACGCGCGAGGAGTAGGTACGCCAGGAGGACACGTTTCGGCCCGTTTCGGCCCGTTCCGGTCCGTTTTTACCAACGACAGATGTCGATCGTTCGAGAACGCAGCTTCCCTTGGAAACCTGGACGAGGAGATGGCGACGCAGAGGGCATTCTGGTAACTTTCCCTCCTACGCATCGACCGCGAGCCTTGAGGAAAGGAGAGAAGAGAAGGCGCACTGGCATGCGAGAGAGCCTTTCTAATCCGTTCAACGAGTCGATGTTTTCGTGCCAGCTAGTAGTGAGTAACGGAGTGCTGCCTAGCAGAAGGGGCAAGGACGGCCGAGGCCGATCATGCTCGGCAACATGGCAGGAAGTCAACTCGGAGAAAGAAAGGGAGGAAGAAGCCGATCGAGGAACCAACACCGACCACGACAATGACGACCACGACGATGATTGCCCGGCCACACAGCCATTCAGCCAACGTGCCAACGTTTCTCTCCGTTCAACCTACTCCTCTCTACGACCTCCTGCGAATACCTACTCTCTGCGCATCGCAGGATAAATCAAACTTCCTATCCAACCTTCTCGCAAACTTTCGCAAAAGGGACCGTGAAATTTCAGGGTAAAAGGAGATGAAGAAAATAAAAAAATTCCAAGCAGGAGTCGTTGCTTCGGAAGCGAGGAATACGTATTATCCTTTCTCACGTGCCTGTTTCTCGGAAGGAGTTCAAGAGCATGGATGGAACGTTGTAGGTAAACGAGAATATTATAATTTGGAGCAAAGAATAGATACACGCTGTCGGGTATCGCGTTGTTTAACGACCCAGATTCGCGGTATACATTATCATCGATTATCACGACGATCGGGAACGGAATACAGGCCATATACCGCGAACGTCTTTGCATCTGTTAGAGTCACTTCTCTCTCGTTGCCGGATAAACATCGCGCGTTAACGTCTGGATACATGCATCGGATACGCCAAATTTCTCTAACCCCGCTTGACGTTCCGCGAAATGAATCTTTGTCCGTGTTAATCTGCGCAACCTGCTCGCCCGATTCGCCTCGATATACGGCAGAATTCCACGTTAATACGCGAGAATCATAATTTACGGTTGCGAGTGTACGACAGAAACTCGGTACCTACCCGGGCTTTCACAGCCGTTTGAAAAGCTGGTTTCTTTATGCGAGACCGGGATCTTTATGCGGCCTTGAAGAAGCGTCGAGAATCTGTTCCGGATCCTTTGTTCGCCGCTCCCTGCGAGCAGCTTCCTTTTTGGATTTGCGCACGGCGATAAGGATCCAGATGCCGGAACATTGTTCCACGGATAGTCGTTTTAAAAGCCCGTGTTTGCCGAGCCGACCATCTTTCGCGATCCTCGACGTAGATCGAGACGCTACTGCGTTTTCGAGGGAAAATGGACGGCGATTCGTCTTTGTCCGCGGAGATAAGAAAACGATCACGCTCATCGAGAATTCCACCTCCCGTGTCGCTCTTTTCCCAACTTTCTCGTCGCCCGATCGAGCTCCGAAAATCCTACTTACCCCGAACGCGTCCAGCTCGTGTACTCGAAAGTCGTAAACCAAGTGGGAAATAACGCGTGTCTGCGTTGCGTTCGGACAACGGAAGCACGGCCCTGGTTACCCCCACCCTCGCTGAAGATTTATGTTGCCATTCGTGGCAAAAGTTATTGTTCTCGTAGGGCTTTGTACGTTCCCCACGTGTTCGCAAACACTCGATAAACGCGTACGCAACACGCGCCATCGGCTTAGCAACCGAGACCCTTTTCCTTTTCCTACGACGACTCCTATCTTACGAAATTGTAAATTTCCAAAGGAAAATTCGTCTATCCACCGTGTTTCGTCCACGGGCCAGTAGATTTTCCTATTTCCCCCGACCGACGAGTCATAACGCGTTATCCGTATTCGAGACAGCCTTCGGTCGAAAGTAAATTCCGGCAGGAAATTCCTGATTACGATCTATTTTCGAGGAAAAGGAAGATAGGGGGGGGGGGGAGGGGGCACGCGTAGATAATACGAACGACCAGTGTCAACGGATGAAATCATACTTTGTATATAGGCTAGGGTACGACGGAATACTCGTCCTATCTGCGTATAATCTTACCCTTATCACACGGTGAGCGTAACAGTACGCGAAAATCGGTCGGAACGTTTTAACTGGATGAAACGGGGGTCTAGCACCGGCTGAAATTCTATTGCGTGTCAACGTTTCCAGACGCGTGCACGCCCCCATAGCGAAACGACCCTCGCGA